CCCATGTACCCCACCCCCCCAGCCCTGCTGGAAGAGGCCCCTAGCTGCCAAGGCTACAGGGTCAGGGACCTATGTCTGCAGCTCCCTGCCCCCTGCAGCAGCACCTAAACTCCAGCTGCCATCTGCAGGAGGTGGCAGCTGCTGCAATGGAGCAGAGTAGGGAGCCTGGCTTCCCTTCCCCAACAGGCAGCATGGCCCAAGCAGAGCCTGGTGAGGAGGGGCAGGCTGCCCTCTGTGGGCTTGGGCTCCCTGCCCTGCTGCCCTCCCCGCAGGGCCTCTGCAGCCCAGTGGGAGAGACTCAGCATGGCAGGGCAGAGCAGGGCCAGGACAGGAAGTTTGTTGCCGCCTCTAGCAGCTCTGCACCACCATGATAAGGCACCCCCTGCCCACCCGGCAGCAGCAAGGAGCACAGCTCTGCACCGCGACCCCTGCTACTGCTGGGTGGGCAGGGGGCACTTCACCAGGGCAGCACAGGGCTTGCAGCAGCAAGGAGTTTCCCAACCTGGCTCCACTCTGCCCTGCTGCACCAGGTCCCACCTGCTAGGCTGAGGAGGCCCCCTGGGGGAGGGCAGCAGGGTGGGGAGCCCGAACCCACAGCAGGCAGCCTGCCTCCGTCCCATGCACAGATCTGGGGGACATGTCCAACCCCTGCCCCTCCCAGGAGCACACGCAGTGGCTGGGAGCCAGCCCCACCTCCAACCCCTGGACAAGCCACCTGCAGCCCTGTTCCACCCCCACCCAGGCCCTGCAGCCGTGCATTTGAGCCCTGGGCCCCAAGACCCATGCACCACCCCAGCTAGGCAGTAGTCGCTGCCTCAGCTCTGCCCAACTCCCTCCCTTCCTCTCTATGGGGGCCTCAACCCCCGCCCCCAACACACAGACATACACACACCCCAGACTTACCTGCAGGAGCTGACATCCAGGGTGCCTGGTGGCCATATGCATGTCTGAGGGCACACATGCACATGGCACCCCTTGCCTAACTGCCCTCCTCCCACTGCCCACAGCCCCTTGCAGGCTGGAACTCTGCCAGCCTGCAGAGAGCTCTTTGCAAAAGTGGAAAATCCAGGTGTTTCTCCGTTAAAATTAAAAATCTGCATTTTTATTGGTTAAAAGGGACAATTTGTGTTTTTTCCATTTTCCTGCAGGAACAAAAACCCGGATCCATGCTCATTACTTAGTATTCTGTTCCCATAGAGATGCAGAGGCCTACAACTCCTTGTAACAACCCACTGTTTATTTGAACACTGTTATCAAATCCCCAACATAGGTCTTCTCTTTGCCAACCTAAAAAATCTCAAGTCTTTCACTCTTCCAGTGTTGATGAGCAATGCTATTCTGCCCTTCTTATCCACAACCATGATGTCTGGTCAGTTGTGTGGCATAGTCTAGTTTGCAATGTTTGTAGCATCCTAATAAATGTTGGTTTCATCATCTGTGACATCACCTTGCATTTGTACTGAAGGATGATGGTATCTGTCTTACTGTAACTGTAGTTAATGTAATTGTTGTAACCGGTACTGTGGTGAGAGGGGTGACGCGAAGGGGCGCCAACAGGTGCTGCCCAGCCAGGGTGGGGTGCGAGACAGAGCTGCAAACGGCTCATTTGGTAGGGTGCAGGGATGGTGGGGAGGGCATCTCCCGCTGCTACATGCACTCCCAGGCAAGCACAGGGCCACCCCTCCCCCAGATCTGTGCACAGGGCAAGGGCAGGCTGCCGCTGTGGACTTGCCCCACGTGCCAAACATTTTTGCTATGGTACTGGTTGTAACTAATAACAATAGACAATAATATTGATGGTGATGATGATGCAAGACCCCAACTTCTTTGCTCTATCAGTCTTTTAGTTCTAACATATCCCACAAAGAAGAGAGAGAACCCTTTTCTCTATGCATGATGTTGATATTGCCATTTCCAAAGGCTTATCCTATCTATCCAGGCCTCCAAACAGCTACTGAGCATGCACGTTGTCCAGGTGGGTGTGTGGTTCTTTAAATACGTATCTGACAGTGTTAATATTGTAGTCGGGCAAAATCCTATAACCTGTGAGTGTTTTAGACACCAGAAGAGGAGGAAGACCCTCCCATGTCTTAGTCCATTAAGCTAATCATAATGGTATTTGCCCAGGAAGGTGGAGATACAGGTTCTAGGCTCCCTCCATTAACAAAGGTTGAACATGTATCACTCTGACTCTACTCTGTGGTGGGTGCTGAAAAATGGCAGCAGAGGCTCTTGAATTAAAGCTCATTCAACAAGCTTTAGTTCAAGTGTCCCTGCCACCATTTTTCAGTGCAGGGATGCTGATGCACAAGATGCAGAAGGCTGCTGGAGCGAGGCAATTGCCACACTCCAGCAGACTTGATTAATTGGGTCTGTTCTAATATGATGGAATCCCAGTGCCTTGGAGCAGCCTCACTGCTCATGTACAGGCACCCTATAACGCTGAAGATTAGATAGCTCTTACCAGGCATGAAAACTGCTTTTTGAAAAGAAGAAAAAGGATTGGAAAGGCCTGATAAACAGGTGGGTTGCAGAATCAAGACATTTCCAATCAGTGGTGCATGCAACTTTGAAGATGTTCAAAGCACACCTGTACACAGACAGCCTCCTCAGTTCTCATTAGGTACTTCCAGTTTTGAAAGGTTTGACTTCAAGCATCCATGGTTTCATTTTAATTGCATCCCTGGGGCATGGATCCACAGGGTGTGTCTTTGCCCCAGAAACACTGCTGAGATTCACCATTGCAAGGGCTTATGTAGAAGTACCATTTCATCCCTGTAATTTCAGAAAGGCTGAAATCACTCTCTGAAATGGATCTCAGGAATCCTCTCCTCTCGTGAGCGGTAGTAGAGGATGCCCTTCATTGGGAACCTTCCAGGACATGGGAGTAAAGCCAAGAGTTCCTTTTGCTTCGCCCACTGGCAGAATTTTAACAACACTGTCCACTGAGTAGCGGCCAAAGGGACTGAACCCAAGGACTCCATCAAATTCAAGCTCAGGATCTAGCCAAATCAGCACAGATTTCAGGATGAAAAGCACCCAGTTTGCCAATGCATGGTAGGATTTCTAAATAGGGTTGGTCTCTGGCCCCTCTTTGGGCTATATCATTTCTGTGGCTTGTCTTCATGGTGTGTTTTACAATCTTATTGACATGAAAGCAGCAGAAGAGACTAGAATTTAGAATTTTTGTTCTGTATTTGGAGTCCAGCCCTGGGACACGGCCTTATTCTGGGGCTGTAATGGTGATAATAACAAATGAGATCACATTTTGTCCAACTTCACCCACCCTATGATTGAACCCTGCAGTGATAGACAGATCCTCAGTGAGCTGCAACCACCAACACCAGCTAAGAGCCAAGGCCCAAACCTCTGTCGAGATTAGTTGCACCATCACTTTGGTTGGGAAATGGTCTCTCAGCTCATCTAAAAGATCTGCCCGGCAAGCCATTTATCCTGTGACTCAGCCTGCATTTCTCTGTGCTCACTGTCC